ATCAGTGTGTAATGATGATGAGTGCGGTCCCGTTCCGAAATTTTCTCACAATTTCACGTCTTGTTTGACCTCTGTGCATATCTGTTTCACATGTGATCACTTCTGCCTTTTTCAGGTTATACCTGAACAGATATGACTTTACCTGGTCAGACATGACTATACCTAGTCAGACATGACTAGACCTGGTCAGACATGACTATACCTGGTCAGATATGACTATACCTGAGTCAGACATGACTATAGCTGGTCAGACATGACCATACCTGGTCACACATGACTATACAGGTCAGACATGACTATACCTGCTTCAGGTCTGATCATGTATAAAAATTAAGCGCCATGAAACGGCAGAAATGCGGATTTTAATACTATAGTCCGCTGTAGTTTTATGATAGACTTACAAGCCGGCAGGGTTTTTTGATAACGCAAAGAACCATATTGACTGCCTATTTTTAACTTATTACCTTGATCTTGTATGAATTGTTTCGGGAGCAACCAAGCACCCAATCCAGTCGGATAGTGTAAAAGTTTTATGGTCCGAGCTGTTGTTTTTTTTGTTGTGTCTGAGGCATGTAGAAAAAAGATCATTTGTTTAAGTTATCGCTTCTCGGCCTTTTGGTTAAGATCATGTGTAGTACTTGTTCTTGCCAGCTTCATATCTGACATGCTGAGCAATTCCTGGCACCAATATTAAACTGATTTTTGTTACTTGAGTTAACAGCAAAGCTTGCTTTAGTTGACTCACGGTTTGTACCGGTCTTACACTACCCTCATGCTATGTCTGCTTCAGGTCTGATCTTTTAATTTCAGCATGATTATGTCTGGTCCAGGTATGATCATGTTAAGTCAGGTATGATCATGTAAAGTCAGGTAAGATCAAGTCTGCTTCAGGTCTGATTCAGTAATTTCAGGCATGATCATGTCTGGTCCAGGTATGATCCTGTAAAGTCGAGTATGATCATGCCTGCTTCAGATCTGATCATGTAATTTCAGATATGATTATGTCTGGTCCAGGTTTACTTCAATTTTAATCATATCTGACTCAAGGTCTGATTTTTTTTCATAATTATCGTGTCTGGTACATGTCTCTATCAGACACGTTCCAGGAAAAAAGAGACATACCACAGGACTGATACAGGTATGGATTTTGTATGTATTTTCGATGTCCGGATTTGAATTTAACTATAAATTTCAGTACGAGGTATATTTTGCTAAGCATAAATTTTTCTTGAGTTGAAACTACTATGAATTCGACGAGAAGTTTTCTCACCGCTGTTGGTTTAGAGCAAGCTCGTCCGCCTGGAAGTTTGAAAACTTCAGGATCATTTCTTTAACTGTGATAAGCTCCTTCGGAAAATTGGTTCGGAAAAACAAGACTACTCTTTATTAGTGACTGGATACTCATATCAAGGCAAAACCTTGAGTGTTATGACTGCACTTTGACGACGAAGAAAGTTTTTTTAGCGTTTGTGAATTTTTAGCGTTTAGATCGGAAAATTGGTTCGGAAAAACAAGACTACTCTTTATTAGTTACTTGAGTTCCTAATTTCATTCTCATTCCTAATTTTTATCCCCCGTTAAATTAATTAACAGGATAAAAACTTTGCGCCTGTTAACATGAAAAAAAAAGAGAAAACTAACGATAACGATTAGATGGATTTGATTTGCCGCTTATGCTTTAATAGGAGGAAAAAATTTCGATGTCTTTCTGATGGCATTAAAAGTTGCGTGAAAAAAGCGTTGTTCACAAAACTATATAAATTTATATTCAAAACCAATTTAATTTTTGAACTTTGCTGATTGTCTGGAATCAAATGATTTTAATTAATTGTTTCATTTGGCTTTTTCTACGGAAAATACTTTTCTAGAACCTATTTTTTTCTCGAGCGCTATTCCCATAAAATTTGCAATTTATTCATCAAATTGAGAGTAACGTCTGTCAGCTTATGATTGTTTTTGAACATCTTCAGTAAAAGTAAAAAGGATCAGAAAATTTTTATATCTTGAAAAATGATAAGCTTAAACCTTTGGTCGTTGCGTGTTTTTGAGCAAGATTTGGTGGTTTATTTGATTTATCAAGAGTTCAAACTAAGAAAGAATAACATTTTTGAATAATTGTTGAAGTTTAGTTGTAAAATGAAAGCAGATTTTGAAGAAGCTTCAAAAATTTAATTTTGCAAACCAAATTAAGCAAACAAAAAAATCCAATTTGAATTAAGTCCCATAGATTTTACCGATCATGTTTATAGAAAAATAAAAAAAACTCTAATTTGATTTCTTCAAATTAGTGTCGTTTTTAGCGCGTGGTGTGATTCGAAAACTATAAAAACACGTAAAAGTTAGCAAATTAGACAAGAATGTCTTTTTTTGAACAAAAAAAACGAACACCATAGAAAAAAAAGAAAAAAATTGAAATTTTTTGAAAGTTTGTTCTTAATTTTTGTACATTTTTTTAAGAATTGCCGAATAAACATGAAAAATGAACTTGTTAAATAGTAAAATCAAATTTTGATTGTCCAAAAGTCTACAAAAGTAAACTTAAAAAAACGAACGTTACTCGATTGCGTTACTCGCTCGAAATTAAATAAAAAGTCAGAAACTTCAAACCGGCTTTTCTCGACATTGAAAAAAATTTTCGGAATTTTTTAATAACGTTCGAATTATGACTGAAAAGGATTTATTTGTCATAATACACAACTAAACGAATCCGAAGATAATATTGGTACCTGATTTTTTCGTGGAAGAAAAATTAACAAATACCCGAAAAAAATTGTCAAGGATTGGAACAACACTTTTTTTTAACCCTGTGGCAGTAATTTTACATGAAAAAAATAAAATATGTTATATGCCCTCTAGTATCTTTTCTTATGATTGACGAGGCCCAAAATTGAGTGCGCTTGCATATTAACAAAACTGTTGTCGCTGTAATTCAGTTGTTGCCAAAATTAAAACAGGACTGCTCGTATCAGGGCAAAGTCCCGAATGTTCGGACTGCCTTTTAAGCTTTATGGAGCAGAAATAACCATAAACTATTAAATCAAATTTTTAAAAAATGAAAAACTTTTTGCTCTAAAATTTGAAATTTTTATTGAGAATTATCCCCCCACAAGCCATTTAAAAAATACAAACGGATAGATTTCGCTCCTTCTAACAAATCAATTATGGCAAATAGGCTTCTTTCAACCATTTTGGAAAGTTTTCTAAGACGGAGTAAATCTCCGCTTACGCATTAGTAGCGCGATTATGTCGCGCTTTAATTTTCCAAAATTGGCAGAAATGGCAGTCTTTAAACCCTCATAACTTTACAAAAAAAATTCTCAAATATAATATCTTTTCAAGTTAAGGCTCAAAATAACAATACTTTTTGAATGATATAAAAAATTCCGTCAAAACTGGTCAGTTAAAAAGTCGAAATTTGTCTGAAGGAAATAACCCACCCCGAGCACAAATATTCCGTTACTTTCGTATCAACAATTGGAACAATTAGGGAAGGCATTTCAGTCATTCGTTGTTCCAACCACAAAACTGAATAGGAAATTTGTTTTTGAGCGTTTTAGTTTTTTGTTTATTTATTTTCCAAAAAAATCATGTCCATAACAAATTTCGAAATGAGTCTCGTGATATATGTTTTAAAGCCGTCCGTTCTGGTCGTGATTCGAACAACTTGTATGAAAATTTCGAACAAAGTTTTCCTTGTTTTGAGAAAAAAGGGTGGAAATTGATAAGTCAGTGTAATTTTGAGCGAATAAAGTAAGAAATTACGTCTTGTCATATAAAAAGCATCATAGTCTAATTTTTATAATTCAGTTAATCTTGAAAAAATCTTAATCAGAAAATTTGTCAGTTATAGTTTATTTATGCGTTTTCTCTAGGGTTTCATTTTCGATTTTGTTCTTTTTTTTCGTTTCAACTTTTGACGGTAACTACTGTTGAAAAAAATTATTTGCCATACCTATCAAACTTGTGTTATTTTTAGGCTTTGCTTCAGTTCATACAAAAGCCCCTCTACCCAACTAACAAAAAACAAAAACGATTGAAAAAGAAAACTTCTTAAAAACATTCTTATAAACTGTTATGGTGGGAACTTAACGTGCTATTTGTACAGCAACCGGCTATCCCTGTTATTGTTTTGGAATAAATATATCAATACAAATCAATATATAGCGCTTCAATAAAAGAAAAAAAAAGTTAAACAGACTGCTTATACATTAGGCCGATTCCCTGAACTTTCAGACTGCCCTCCAACTGATCTCGAAGTGTTTTTTTTTACAATAAAAGTCCGACAAGTTGTCAATTTTTGACTGCCAATATCAGATAGTAAGTGCCTTTTTTAGTCCTATACAGAATTATTGTGACCAAATTAGTTTGCCTCAAAGCATTGTGGAGGGATAATGAGTGCGGTCCTGTACCGAAATTTTCCCACAATTTCACGTCTGATCATACAATTGTCAGACACTAGCTGTTTTCCAGCTCTGTTCATATCTATTTAACATGTGATCACTTCTGCCGTTTGCAGACTAAACCTGAACAGAGATGACTATACCTAGCCAGACATGACTAGACCTGGTCAGACGTGACGATACATGGTCAGAAATGACTATATCTGGTCAGAAATGACTATACCTGAGTCAGACATGACTATAGCTGGTCAGACTTGACCATACCTGGTCAGACATGACCATACCTGGTCAGACATGACTATATCTGCTTCAGGTCTCATCATGTATAAAAAGTTAGCGCAATGAAACGGCAGAAATGCAGATAGTTATAATATAGTCCGCTGTAGTTTTACGATAGACTTACAAGCCGGCAGGGTGTTTTGATAAGGCAAAAAACCATATTGAGTGCCTATTTTTAACTTTTTACCTTGATCTTGTATGAGTTGTTTCGGGAGCGACAAAGCTCCCAATCCAGTCGGATAGTGTAAAAAATTTATGGTCCGAGCTGTTGTTTCTTTGTTGTGTCTGAGGCATGTAGAAAAAAGATCATTTGTTTGAGTTATCGCTTCTCGGCCTTTTGGTAAAGATCATGTGTAATACCTGTTCTTGTCAGCTTAATATCTGGCATCCTGGGCAGTTCCTGGTACCAATATTAAACTGATTTTTGCTACTTGAGATAACACCAAAGCCTGCTTCAGTTGACTCACGGATTGTACCGGTCTTACACTACCCTCATGATATGTCTGCTTCAGGTCTGATCTTTTAATTTCAGGCATGATTATGTAATTTGATATATGAACATGCCTGGTCCAGGTTTACTTCAAGTCTGATCATATCTGACTCAAGATCTGATTTTTTACATAACTATCATGTCTGGTACATGTCTGTATCAGACACTATCAAGGAAAAAAGAGATATGCCACAGGACTGATACAGATATGGATTTTGTATATATTTTCGACGTCCAGATTTGAATTTAACTATAAATTTCAGTACGGGGTATATTTTGCTACGCATAAATACTTCTTGAATTTAAACTACTATGAATTCGACGAGAAGTTTTCTCACCGCTGTTGGATTATAGCAAGCTTGTCCGCCTGGAAATTTGAAAACTTCAGGATCATTTCTTAGGCAGTGATAAGCTCCTTCGTAAAATTTGTTCGGAAAAACAAGACTATTCTTTATTAGCGACTGCATACTCATATGCAGCCCTGAGTGTTATGACTGCACTTAAACGACAAAAAATATTTATTTTCTATAGTGTTTGTGTAAACATTGATAAGACTGTTCGGGAAAAAATTGAGATTTCATTTTCATTATCATTCCGATTTTTTTAATCCCCCGTCAAATAAATTAAGAGATAAACTTTGAGTCTGTTAACATATTAAAAAGATCAAACTAATTACGTCACTTCAGATTAGATTGATTTGATTTGTCGCTTATGCTTCAGTAGAAACATTCCGATGTCTTCCAGATGGCTTTAGAAGTTGCGTGAAAAAAGCGTTGTTTACAAAATTATTTGATTTTATATCCAAAACCAATTTGAATTTTGAACTTTGCTGATTGTCTGGAATGAAATGATTTTAAATAATTGTTTCATTTGGCTTGTTTCTACGAAAAATCATTTTCTAGAGCCTATTTTTTTCTCGAGCGCTATTCTCATAAAGTTTGCAATTTATTCATCAAATTGAGAATAACGGCTGTCAGCTAATGATTTTTTTTGAACATTTTGATTTGACGTGGAAATAAAAAAAAACGAAAACTAAGTAGTCTTTCATCCCTTTAGTGCCGTGTATGGAACCTTCGAAAAGATGCAAAATTACGGTATCCGATTTCCAAAGAAAGCCACAAAATTCAACAAGGATAGCCGGTTGCTATGCAAGTAGCACAGAATGTTCCGATCATAGTTTTTATAAAACTCCAAAAAAAAATGGTCGGAACAATAAGCTTCTCAAAATTTTTATGACAATTTGAAAGCACAGACCACGTGACTACAAAGTCTTACTTTAGGTTTACATTCTGAAAGCATCAGCTTATGAAAAACGCGTTTCAATCCTGTTACCCGGCTAAGAACCATTTTCTGTTTTTTTTTTTCAACTTATAAATGCGAGTTACTGCGAATCCTTGTTCTATAAACAAATGCATCTTATGTGGTTTTTGTAAAAATGAGTTTCAAATCAGGTCAGATATTGTAGAAGGTATTAGTACCTCTAGTCATTTTCCTACTTAGCTGTGAATTGAAGAACATACAAATGTTTAAAAAAATTTTCCAGATTAAAATGTACATTGAAAAGCTTAAGCTGTATGAAGATAATCTACCCAGATTTTAACATCCGGAAATTGGTTTAGGGATACCCGCAGTGGCACCAGTACAGCAAAATTAGTCAAGTTTACTATTTTTAATTCAACCATACTAAAAAACATCACGCTATTTCACTAAGTTATACTAACTGAAACTGAGTTTCTCGAGATATTTTTTTCTTACTTTAAAAATTACTTTTTTCTTCTCATTTTTTCCTCAGTTTCTTCACCTTTTGATTGCGATTTTTTGTATATAATTAATCTATTTTTACAATAACCTCTACGAAAGGGCTTTCAACTCATTCAAATAAAGTGCGCGTAAATTTATTGTTTTATGAAGTCAACGGGAAAATACTCATTGTAGACAATCGGGCGTAACATATTAAATATAGATTTTTCAATAGTGTACAGTCATCAATCAACGTATTTAGCCGAACAAAAAAAACTCAAAATTGAAAATATATTGCGATCTTCACAGAGTTTTCTTCGAGAATAAAAAGAATATATAAGCCGCATACTATTTAAGGCAAGCATTAACACATTGATTCCATTTTATATAGCGAATTGATAAAGCGAAATGATTTTTGATTGAACTTTAACCTGAATAAAATTGATAAGTGCCACCATCTTTCATGAAGAATTTCAACAAGTCATCGCATTGACAAAGTGTACCTCAAAAAAGCGCGCCAAAAAATTATAAAAATTTGATTCAAAATCTTTCAGAAATTCAAAATTTTTTCAAACTTTCAGGCAATTAAAACATACAATTCATTCATCAGAACTTACATGCATGTACTTGAAACACAATTGTCAGCTACATTCTTTGGTGAAAAGTTCTCAGACTTGATTTGAAATGTGAACCGGCTTTTTGCTCACTCTTTGCCTATAGTGCTGAGCTGAGTGTGAAATCCCCCACCCGTGTTGTTTTTTCCCGGTAAACAATAGCGCGATTCAAAGCCCAATCTTCGAATTCTCATTTAGTAGTTGATAAGGAGAAATATTTTGATGCAGAAAATTTTGTAATTTTCACTTTGATTTTTCACTTAGTATTTCCCGCTTAATAAGTGAAGTTTTAGTCTACTTTGCAGATCACGGCTTCTCAAAAAAGTTCTCAAATTCTTGATGCTTTTTTAGATCAATCACAATGATTTACGGAGCTTAAATGTGTCTGCCGTTAGGACTGTCGGCTTTCTTTTCTTAATAGACTTCATTTTTCTGTGCCTAAATGTTTAATACCATATCCATCTAAAAGGCAACCCTTCTTCTTTTGGCAGTGAAAATATAATTCCAACTTCGTAGGCGTGAAGATCAATTTTGAAGCCTTTTGAAAGCTTATTTATCTGACTCTAGATCGACGCGCGCTGAAAACGGCAAAATTTTCACCTCTTAAAAAAATGATTCAAGCATTTGTGCTTTTGAACAAAAAACTCATTTGAAAAACTTTAACGCTCCAACAATTATATTTTATAGTTGAAATCCTTGGTAATTGATCATGCATTCCAAAGAAAAGAAACTTCTGGTCTTAAAACAACAAATTGCGGTTACGTCATCATAAAAAATTCATCGGCTTCATAAAAATTGGCTTCAAAGTTATAGCCCTTAGTTATTTCCCCGGAGCCCATTTTGCCCGTTAGCAAAAAATTTTTGATCTAATTTTTTGTGCCGTTTGAAAGAAAAGGTTTCAGAACAAACTTTGATATCTTCTTTTATTTTTTCTTGATATTATTCGTAATCAACTCATTTCGTGAATAAAAAGACAATAAGCGACAACTAAAAACAAAAAATTTTTACAAGAAAAAAGATTATAGCTTGTTTTTCTAACAATTCCAAAACCTTTTATTCTATCCTCTTTAACTACAGTTAATGCACACAGAATTGAAGTCAAAGCTAATAATTGAAGTCGAATAACTAAAAACAACTCTCGTTAGAAGGACAAGTTCTTCTTGATGGACCCACGCGCGAGTTTAATTGGAAAAAGTGGGAGAAACGATTTGAGGTTTACGCACCGTAAAATTGGTACAAGTTTTCGATTAAAATTCCGCAACTTTGAAAATTTAGTTTTCGTAACCATACATTAAGAAATGTATTGTCTATCAAATTATTATTTATAGACCACACTTAATAAAAAAGGTACGATTCCAATTTAAAGTTTTCTACTGTGCAAAGATCGAATAAAATTTTGGTTCGATCTATAGAGTTCAATTTCCACAAATTTACTATTTCTGTTGATAACTCTAGATGTTATCAAACTTACATTAGTACCGCCGAAGAATTATTATTAGCCACCCTGTATTGTTTTACCCAATACTAACAGGGTAAGAATGACCGAATTACCAGCTACGCTCTAATGCCCGCTGGCCAAAATTCGCCCAAAAGCACTGAACCACACAACTCTTGCACGTGTAGTCTGTCATCGAATCAACTTTCATTGATCTCCTCAAAATAATTTAGACCTCATTTCACAAAATCGAATCTCAAAACAACCTACCACCGACAAATAATTGCGCGATTATTCTGTATTTATTTATTCTTCATTACAAAAAACTTCCAAAAATCTTTCATTTTTCAACAATTTATTATTGCCAGGCATATATTGTTTTGACTGAATTTTGTTTAACAAAAAATTTACTGAGATTTCTGTGCAATCTTTCGTCGAAAACAAAAATTGGTAAAATGAATGGTATATGATTATTTTAACCCATTTGGCGAAAGAATTAGCGCGTTCTTACCCGCAGTAAGATTTTATCCCGATTTAAATTTACACCTGGGCTTTTGTTAAGCGGAATTGACGACATTTTCCACTCAGTGATTGCATAGGTATGTGAACAAAATCATCCACTATGAAGCTTAATGTTGTTCAAATTAAGTAACTTATGACGCGAGCGGTTGATAACAAACTTATAACTTCATCGGTTTATTCAAACCGCATTACTTAGCTTCCTTACATCGCCTCAAAAAACTTCGACCCAAAATTTATTATTAACCGGGAACTGTTGCCCTAAATAATCTGGCAAAACTTACAAAATAAAATTAACGATCTCTGAAAACAGAAAGTGATTTTTAGTTTATTTTAACAACTGCAGTTTGCCTTATTTTCCTTAACAGAAGCTGAAGTAAAAAGAAGTAAGTTAATGTTTTTTATCAAAATCTTAAATCTATCAAATTGTGGAGCGGAGGTGAAACGGAGAAACTCTTCGCTTTGTCAGTCGAAAAAAGGCATATCGATTATCGGTATTCACATTATTGCGAGAGTGAAGCAACAATTCGTGCTCGGTCATAACTAAAATAAGCTCCGGTCATAACTAAATGCTCTGGTCGTAGCTCAAAACATCATAGCTCAATATCAATTCTCCAAATAAAGCTGAATAACTTTCATGTTATGTTAGTCGGTTGTCTCGTGAATGAAAAGCCTCTCATCTTTCAAAAATAAAACTTTCACAAATAATTAGTTTTTTCAACAATTATTTTTTAAAATATTCTATTCTCTCTCTCTCTCTCTCTCTCTCCTCCTCCTCCTCCTCCTCTCAATTAAAGCATCCACTCGACATAATTTTGAGAGCAACTAATTTTTTGTAAAACTTTATCAATCGGACGCTTTTTCCCGTTTCACTCAAATTGGAGTTTAAAGCCAAACACAGTTAAAACACGCGTCAACCTGTGCCGAAGGCAGTCTAAACAGATGATGAGGCAAAACAACTGTGCCGAAGTATAACAGTATCGAAGCATAACAATGTTGTTCAACAGAGCCGAAAATTGTTTTGAATTTTGTTTTTACTAATACATATCACTGACAAGTAATTAAACTCAAATTTGCAGAAGATTAAACTACACATTTGCTCAATTTAATTGATGCTGTGTGTTGATCCAACAAAATTTTCCCACGCGCGGTGTCATAAATTTTGCTGAATCAATTAATTAACTCAGTCAGCTTTTTCCTCCTCTCCGGAATTTGACCCCCTGGCCTTACAAAGGGTACCTTTTTAGCGCTATTTCAAAACATCTATGTTTTTTTCTGACTGATCCTAAAATTTTTCTAAAGGCACTTTCGCGCCAATATGTACTAGTTTTGAGGATAGCGCATTTTTGAGGATAAAACGCTGCTTCTGATTAAAACAGGTTCTTTATGATGATTTGCGAGAGCTCTGGAGAAGAAATTTGGTCCACCTAAAGAAACTTTGAAAATAAAAAAAAATTGAAAACCACTCAACTCCCTTCCCTCCCCTCAATCCGCACCTTGAACTCAGAAATAATAATAATCATAATAAACTGTTTCCAAACGATATCTAGTTACAAAGTTATTTATAAACATTTATAAATACAAATTAGAATCGTTTGGGAGAACACCATTAAGCCAACAAGGCCCGTTTTCAGGTGTCTCATTAAGCGGAGAACAAAAAAAGTACTTAAACTCTTTAATCCAATGCAATGGATTTTCTACCGTTAACCATTTTTTAAACGTAAAACTTCTTTATACGCACCTTTAAACCATTCTCTATAAAAAAATTAATTTAGTTTTCTCAGGTAGTCTTTTCTACCCATAACTTAAAAACCAACAGAAACAAGTTCTACTTATTGACCAATAAAAAGTCTCAAAGCATGCCCAATAAACTCGTATTTCCTAGAATGTAATCATCCAAAAATTTATGATTGAAACTATTTAATTGAAACCGAGAAGCCCCTTTCAAGAAATTGACCCAGGTGGGAAAAAAATTATTACGAAGTTGAACATTTTTCTAATTTTAGGTGTAACCGACCCTCTCTTGAGTTTATTTCTGTTAATAGCCAACTTTTGATTTGTTTTTCGCTCTGAAAATATCACGTTCAATTCTTGTTCAGTAATAGAATATATCAAGGTTTCAACTTGGCACTCTTTTCGAATAATTTTTCCGGTTAATTTCAGAACTTCCTAAGCAAAAAATTCTTATACGGTATATATTTTATTATCATGCATTATTTCAGTGATTGAACCCATCCTGTGTTTATAAGAAATTATTCTGATTAGCCTTCTGATTTTCATTTCCAGTTCTAACAGTTTAGTTATGTCGGTATTTGCATAAACTAAAACTCCAAATAGTCAAACGTTCTTTTTGGTTTTGCTCCAAAACAAAACAATAATTACGCAAAATTGCCAACAGCTCGCAAGCGGAAAACAAAATTTTCACATTTCATAAATTTTGTCACTGTTGCACTTAGGCACTGTTGAAGGCTGCAATTTGATAAGGCTAGAATTTAGTTTTAAAAATGTAAAATGTCCACAAAACCGATAGTATGTATTTAAACTAGCAAAATGATTCCGATTCATTATATCAATTCAGAGTTGTGTTCGACCGATTAGTTCCAAGAGTTTAATTCTCACAGTTGTTTTGTTGCGTGATTGCCAGTCTGGCGACATGAGCTTTCATAAAATGTGTGGTGAATGTTCACGCAAAAAGCGCTCACATACAGGCCCCAAAGACTTCTGCTGCTATATAGAGCAAAATCTGCTGCTCTAAAAAACGTTTTTTGCTGTTTTTTTTTTGCTCCCAAAAAAACTGCAGTAATCATATTTTATCACAAAATAGTACTGTTACTATTGCTTTTCGAGATATATAATTCAATTTAGAAAACCAGCAGAGCTCGAAAAGCAAACTTGTTTATTGGCAGAGTCGTGGACAGATGCATTTTCGTTTTTCTGAGAGAAAAAGCAATCTTCGTTGAAAGATTAGTTGAGTAGTGCATCGACTCGTATTTTTTATTTCTGAAAAACAGAGTTGCAACATTCGTTTTTTGACTTAAACATGAAAATCTGCGAAAAATGGGTAATTTCTGCCACATGATTAACGTTCTGATCTATCTGCTGCTTCATAAATTTTTCTGCCCTATAAGACGAATTCTAGTAACTAAATTCAGCTGCTAGAAGAATGTTTTGGGGCCTGCGCACCACGAAGCCGTTATGTTATGATAGAGTTATGAGAAAAAGACAAATCTGCTATAGAAAAAAATTTTTCGCCTTAACTGTGGAATCAAAATCTGCGATTGAGAGAATTCGGCGCTGATTTAGAATCGGCGCTGATTTAGAACCAAAAAAAGCTGAATAACTTTCATGTTATGTTAGTCGGTTGTCTCGTGAATGAAAAGCCTCTCATCTTTCAAAAATAAAACTTTCACAAATAATTAGTTTTTTCAACAATTAATTTTTAAAATATTCTATTCTCTCTCTCTCTCTCTCTCTCTCTCCCCTCCTCCTCCTCCTCCTCCTCCTCCTCCTCCTCCTCCTCCACCTCTCAACTAAAACATCCACTCGACATAATTTTGAGAGCAACTAATTTTTTGTAAAACTTTATCAATCGGACGCTTTTTCCCGTTTCACTCAAATTGGAGTTTAAAGCCAAACACAGTTAAAACACGCGTCAACCTGTGCCGAAGGCAGTCTAAACAGATGATGAGGCAAAACAACTGTGCCGAAGTATAACAGTATCGAAGCATAACAATGTTGTTCAACAGAGCCGAAAATTGTTTTGAATTTTGTTTTTACTAATACATATCACTGACAAGTAATTAAACTCAAATTTGCAGAAGATTAAACTACACATTTGCTCAATTTAATTGATGCTGTGTGTTGATCCAACAAAATTTTCCCACGCGCGGTGTCATAAATTTTGCTGAATCAATTAATTAACTCAGTCAGCTTTTTCCTCCTCTCCGGAATTTGACCCCCTGGCCTTACAAAGGGTACCTTTTTAGCGCTATTTCAAAACATCTATGTTTTTTTCTGACTGATCCTAAAATTTTTCTAAAGGCACTTTCGCGCCAATATGTACTAGTTTTGAGGATAGCGCATGCCAGATAAAACGCTGCTTTTGATTAAAACAGGTTCTTTATGATGATTTGCGAGAGCTCTGGAGAAGAAATTTGGTCCACCTAAAGAAACTTTGAAAATAAAAAAAAATTGAAAACCACTCAACTCCCTTCCCTCCCCTCAATCCGCACCTTGAACTCAGAAATAATAATAATCATAATAAACTGTTTCCAAACGATATCTAGTTACAAAGTTATTTATAAACATTTATAAATACAAATTAGAATCGTTTGGGAGAACACCATTAAGACAACAAGGCCCGTTTTCAGGTGTCTCATTAAGCGGAGAACAAAAAAAGTACTTAAACTCTTTAATCCAATGCAATGGATTTTCTACCGTTAACCATTTTTTAAACGTAAAACCTCTTTATACGCACCTTTAAACCATTCTCTATAAAAAAATTAATTTAGTTTTCTCAGGTAGTCTTTTCTACCCATAACTTAAAAACCAACAGAAACAAGTTCTACTTATTGACCAATAAAAAGTCTCAAAGCATGCCCAATAAACTCGTATTTCCTAGAATGTAATCATCCAAAAATTTATGATTGAAACTATTTAATTGAAACCGAGAAGCCCCTTTCAAGAAATTGACCCAGGTGGGAAAAAAATTATTACGAAGTTGAACATTTTTCTAATCTTAGGTGTAACCGACCCTCTCTTGAGTTTATTTCTGTTAATAGCCAACTTTTGATTTGTTTTTCGCTCTGAAAATATCACGTTCAATTCTTGTTCAGTAATAGAATATATCAAGGTTTCAACTTGGCACTCTTTTCGAATAATTTTTCCGGTTAATTTCAGAACTTCCTAAGCAAAAAATTCTTATACGGTATATATTTTATTATCATGCATTATTTCAGTGATTGAACCCATCCTGTGTTTATAAGAAATTATTCTGATTAGCCTTCTGATTTTCATTTCCAGTTCTAACAGTTTAGTTATGTCGGTATTTGCATAAACTAAAACTCCAAATAGTCAAACGTTCTTTTTGGTTTTGCTCCAAAACAAAACAATAATTACGCAAAATTGCCAACAGCTCGCAAGCGGAAAACAAAATTTTCACATTTCATAAATTTTGTCACTGTTGCACTTAGGCACTGTTGAAGGCTGCAATTTGATAAGGCTAGAATTTAGTTTTAAAAATGTAAAATGTCCACAAAACCGATAGTATGTATTTAAACTAGCAAAATGATTCCGATTCATTATATCAATTCAGAGTTGTGTTCGACCGATTAGTTCCAAGAGTTTAATTCTC